AGTCGAGCTCGAGCTGAATTATTTTTAATCGAGTCGAGCTCGAGCTCGAGCTGGATGATCAAAATTCGAGTTCGAGCCGAGCTCGAGCTGAAAAATTTATAAACGAGCCGAGCTCAAGCTAAGCAAAAACTCGACTCGACTCGGCTCGTTTGCAGCCCTAATTGGTGCTATAGGTTTTTGCCTTTATGTTACAACTTGAAATTGTACATTTAACCTTATGGTACAACTTCAGATTGTACCTATACTTTTTGTACAAGTTTTTTTGTGGTACAACTTGAAGTTGTACATTTATGTGATGGTACAACTTCAAGTTGTGAAGTTGTACCATAACATAATTGTACAAATTCTTTTATGGTACAACCTGAACTTATACATTTAACGTTATGTACACCTTCAAGTTGTAGATTAAAGCACCAATATTATATAGTATAGTAGATTTCTTATTAGTTTTGATGCAAATCATGATAAAATGGGCCGGGACAAGTCAGAAATAATACTCATACCCCATGCAACACTACTGCAAACAATGACAAACAATAGCTAGACATGGGACTTGGGAGGTAGCTAGACTCAAAGCAACGATCTCCAGTCATGGAGTGAAGTTTCCTAGGAGGCAAAACTCCTCCACGACATGATATGATAGCTCCCCTCCAGGCTCCAGCTGAACAATCTATCTAAATATGTCACCCCACCTTCAATCATTCCGAAGGAGAATATAAAATAATAGTAGTGGAAGAGGAGCAAATTTCTTGGCGGTGGTGGTGAATAACCTCTCCTTATGGTTTATCATATAAAGTGATAAATGATTGGTCATAGAGTTAACTCTCTTCTTATAGTTATAGACAATGATCATACTACTGACTTTATTATGATCTGTTGTCTTTTATAGACTTTTGAACCTGGATATAAATGAGTACTAACGGAAGCAAACCCAATATGAAATCGAACAAGAAAATAGAGAAGAGAATGAACAAAGGCAAGACACCAATTTTACGTGGAAAACCCTCCAAAGAGGAGGGAGAAAAACCACGGGCTGGACAAGTCAGTAAATCCACTATGATCAAGGAATAATCTTCAACGTACAAAGTTGTGGAGTAAGTAGAAAACTCACAACATAAAAGAAAAGTACTCAAGAAGATATTCTACACTTTAGGAGAATAAAGGAGTTGAAAGAAATTGGTGTGTCTATTCAACAACAATAGACTCTCTATTTATAGCCATGTAAAATGGCTTATGAGATGCCAAAGAAAAAGTGAACGGCACTCCCATTAACCAAATGGAAACTCCACACAATTAACTCCATGTGGTCATTAACTTTCATAACCCCAAGTAACCTCAAGTGTCTTCCATAACTCCAAGTCTTGAAATTAATTTGAGGCATCAATACCAACATGATCAAAAGACGAATCGATTAATCAGGCATTCAGCACACCACACCCTTGTGATTTTCCAACCTAACTATTAATTAACTGTGTCTCTTCTTTTGAATGAGTTTTGCTGTAGCAAGCGAAATTATTGTCATTCTTACTTAATAGGCAAAAACCACAGTAAAGAGCTATTTACATAGTATTATTAATTAGCCAAAAAAACACATTATGTAGGTTGTTTATTGTGTCTTGTGATCATTTACATCAAATTCATCCGAGTACTCCTAAGAATTGAGGTATGCCTCACATCCCAACAATAAGGTAAACAACTCGGGATAAGTAGTAAAATTGTGACAATAACTGAATAACATAACAAAATTTAAAAAGTTATGTGTTACAACATTTCCCGATTCGATTCAATTCCATGAATTATATTAGTTATCTACAAAGAGTAGACATAAATTTAATTTTGAGAGAGACAAAAATTATTCAAGTTTTTATCTCATTTAGCATTTTGGCTTAAATTCTTTGATTCCTATATACTCGATCAATCCTCATATTCCGATCCTCATTTTTTCGCTCGATCAAATCCTCGAATTCCGATCCTCATTTTTTCTTTATTTTGTACTCAATCCTGCTTCGATATATTCAGTTTACCTGACCCGCATAGTTAAATCTCTGGCGCTACCTATAGACCCTAATTTCCCTAAAAAAAAGTTCCATCTACTACCCCAAATCCATATATAACCAAAAACTTGATACAAAAATAATATAAAGAACTTGTAAAGAATTGATCTCATCATCATCACTAGAGAACATCATTTTGATTTCCGGTGTAAGAAGGAATCTCTTTTTATCTTCAGCTGCTTATTGCCATTTTACCAATCCAAACAAAGGATTCGACACTGGCAATGCCAGTAATAGCTCAGTGATCAACAATGGAGAACAAATTGCAGGAACCCTGTGCTTATCTCCATCTTCCAGAGACTCGATGTTAGTACTTGGTACACATTAATTAGAAAAACATGTAGCACAAAAACCAGCATGTGCATTTGCCTGTGAATCATTCTCCAATTTCATAAGACTCCATTGATGAATTCATTCAAGCAATAAATTGCATTCTGGACCCTTCATTTGGGAATCTTGTACTGTTCGAATTCTATTGGACCATCATCGTCATATGTATGTTTTGCCTGTCACCATTTCTCAACATCTAATCTATGGGAAAGAGAAAAAGTCTTCAGTACTGTTCAGAATCAGCATCTAATCTTAATTTTAATGGTGTTTCCCAATTTTATGGTACGAAGGATATCAACTTTTCAGGAACTTTTCAACGAGAAATTCGTATCTTATCAGATTGCTATTGAAGTGAGGTTCTTTTTTCAGAGAAAGGATTGATTCATACCTCGTTTGATTCAGTTGCAGTCACATGTAGAATATTCTAGTTGCTTTTTGGTAGATATAAAGATTATTGTGTGTTTAACACTAATTGAAAATATGGCTACAGAATCTCGTACAAAATGTGAGATCCATGATGATTTTTTTTTATTGTCTTACCAATATGTACATTTTGAGTCTATATTTTTATTTTCTTATCAATATGTATATTTTGAGTCTAAAATGAAATTGAAAACGATGTATTCTGTCGTTAACATTCATTAGTTTAATTATTGGGCAATGTCTATTTTTTACCCAAACCTTTTTCAGATTCTTTTATTTTAACCAAACCTATTGAATTCCTAAAAATTATCCAAACGTTAACTCTCCGTCAACTTTTTTGTTAGTAATGCTGACTAAGTATGACCATAATGAGTTGACTTCCTACGTGGCGGTCAGAATACCATCATTTACTATTTTTAATAAAAAGATTATCAAAAAACAAGACAAAATCCCACCTCTCACGTGGACGAAATAAGTAACGGTAACAGAATGAATGCCCAGACTTTGATAAATTATAATACGTTTGGATAATATATAGAATTTCTATAGGTTTGGTTAAAATAAAAGAATCTGAAAAAGGTTTGGGTAAAAAATAGACATTGCCCTTAATTATTTGTATGCAATATCTTTTTTATTTAAAAACATTCATATATGTTTCGTTGTGCTATTATTGATCCAGTTGAAACAATAAAACCGGATACGAAGTTTAATTGTCGTCCGACAAGTATAGAATGTAAAATATATGCATTTTTATGGTAGGGTTGTGAGACTTTTATATAATATTTAAATATAATGCATGAATTTATGATGAGATCCACTTAAATGGAACCTCGATATACTTTTAACTTACCCTCTGAGATATTTTGATAACAAGATTTCTCGAATTAAACAGAATAAAGATAATAAATGTTATGTATTCTGGAAATTAACGAAATGAACAAAGATTTGAATAAGGAGGTCTCAAATTCGAATCGTTTAAATAGTACCTAACCATAAAAACTCAACGTATAACACCTTTATAAAAACAAAATTACATTATTACAAGCCACTCCTATATGGTTTTTGGATGAAAAGGCTATGAATGAAGTTATAGCGCCACTTGAATGGCCCATGAGCTCCGACGACTGTGTATTGGTAGTTGAAATATGGCTGGCAGTTTGGGCTTACCTTGAGGTCCAGTTACCGTCATTTGGTGGGCCTAACTCTTGGCGAAAGGTGTTACAACTGGGAACCCAAGCCCAAAATAATAACATGCTAACATGGTCCAGCGAAGCGACTAATTCAATCAGTTCTTTGTCCCCCAAAACACACGTCATATTCACTAATCCATGGACCACGATTCACGTTAACATAGACCAAACCCTAATTGCCCATTAAAGAATGACCCTTGTCAATTTTCTGCAAGTTCATTTCTAGAAGAACAAAAAAGAGCTAAGTGCGAAATAATTTCAAAGTCCATGTGGAAGAAGACAAAATGTAACAGTCTTAATTGTAAACTATACTCTATGGTTTAATTTAAAGGGTAAGAAAATGATAGTTCAAACTTATTTTGCGCTTCAAATTTTAGTGAAAACGAAATATGAAAATTTCGTTTACTCTCTTGGAAAGCGAGTAGGGAAACTTCTTTCAAATAAAAAAATTATATCATCATGTACACTATTCTATTTTGTACATAAATTCGTTACTCCAATCACACTAATATAAATACGAGACGCAACATTACTCGACTGGATGTGCTTCTAAGCTTAAAATTCAAAAATCATAATTCCAAGACTAATTACTTGCAAATTTCCTCCTCTCCTCTATCGAAGTACAGACCAAAGAACAATATCGAGAGTCAAATTCCAATCCTCCACTTATACATTATAATAATATAGCTTACATGTCCATATAAACACACTAATAGCTTTTTCTTTTACAGACTGAAACATGAAGGTCAAGTCAAAATCATGGCAATTAGTCATCCAAAAACAAAATTATTAAGTGCCAACAAAATTTGTATTATTAAAGTAGGTAAGGTCAGATGGCCATCCCATCTGTAAAACAAAAAGATCTCTCTCCCAGCTAATTACTCCTCTTTAACCAACCAATCTCAAACCGACTCGTGTCCTCGTTAAAGCACAACACCAAAAAAGCCAAGAACAGAATCAATCCCACCTTTTATTAATTACCTTTTTCTAATTACTTTGACAGTCTTTTTACAAAGGAATATTTGGTAGTTGAACGTTTTATTTCGGATCAACCAAAATTAATTAATCACTAATAAATATAAATTAGAATTCTCACAAAAAAAAAAATTTAAATTAGAATTCCTAATCAAAACAAAAACTCTCCACAGTCTCCATAATCACACTGTCTCCCTCCACTAACGGTTGCTTTTCCCCCCCACCCCACCGCCTCCATTACTGCAAGATTCCTTTCTCCCCTTCTATTTCCCTGAACTGGGTTTTGATTTTCTCCCAAAAAAGCTCCCAACTTGGGCGATGGAAACCGTCGCCGGCGGTAATTTCACCAAGTTGCAGCAGCAGCTGCAGCAGCAGAAGAAGCAAAAATGGTTCCTCCTGCTAATAGCCTCGCTTCTAATCTCGACCCTTCTGATCCTCCTCACAGTGACTTTTTCCTCGGGAGGGAATAATTCGGCCTCGACTACCCAGCTGCTGTTCCGCTCCTACCGCCGGCGGCAGCAGCAGGACCGGAGCTCCCCGCGATTTGTGGAATCGAAGTTGGCCAAGCCGGAGACTTCGGCGGGGAAACTGCCTCGCCTCGCTTATCTGATATCTGGGTCGGCCGGGGACGGGGTGAATCTGAAGAGGGCGCTGAAGGCTCTGTACCATCCGAGGAATCAGTACGTTGTGCATCTGGACCTGGAGGCGCCGGTGGAGGAGAGGTTGGAGCTGATCAGGTGGGTTAAAGAAGACGAGAAGGTTTTTCAGGAAGTGGGTAATGTGAGGGCGGTGGTTAGGTCGAATTTGGTTACCTATCGAGGTCCGACCATGGTCAGTAACACGCTTCATGCTGCTGCTATTCTGTTGAGGGATGGTGGGGAGTGGGATTGGTTCATCAATTTGAGTGCTTCTGATTACCCTTTGGTCACTCAAGATGGTAATGTTCATAGTTCAGTTCCTTTGATCTTCTTTTTGCTCAAGGTTGCATTTGGAAATGGACATTGTTTCTCTGTTAAGGGCAGTTCAGCTTTCAATTGGTGAAGTGTGAATGTTAGCTTCTAGCTCACAGTTTCTGGATTTGGATGTGCTATCTCAATCATGTTGGCTAATTACTAATTAGGGATTTCTTACTATATTTGGCTGATGCATGTCTGAACTTGAAAATGTCACCGAATTGTAGTTGATTGGGTTGAATTGTTGGCCAGTTTTACCTACTCTTCTATACAAAATTGCTGTTTTAACAATTACAATCATATAAAACTTGCAAGTTGAAAGTTCCATTTGCTCACAGTTTAGAACTTGAATCTCTGGATTGTTTAATGGGGCCTGTGACAGATTTGCTGCACACATTGTCTTCCATCCCAAGGGACCTCAACTTCATTGAGCATACTAGCGACATCGGCTGGAAAGAGTAAGTCTTGATGTTCATCTTTCCTCCTACTGCTTTTGAAATGCAGATGAAGCATAATGCAGTGTGATGTTACTTGTCAGTTTTGTTTAAGACATTGATTTCCTTTTCTCCTTCTGGAGATTGCAGAGATCAGAGAGCTAGGCCGGTGATAATTGACCCGGGGCTATATAGCCTGCAGAAATCAGATGTTTACTGGGTCACGGAGAAAAGGAGTGTCCCAACTGCCTATAGACTCTTCACAGGTCAGTATGGCTGCAAAACATTACTGTTCTAAAGGATATTTGTTCAGCACAAGTTTTAAATCCTGAACATGATTTGCAACAGGTTCAGCTTGGATGATGCTTTCTCGTCCTTTCGTCGAGTATTCCCTGTGGGGATGGGACAATCTCCCCAGGATAGTTCTAATGTACTACGCGAACTTCCTCTCATCTCCCGAGGGCTACTTCCACACGGTGATCTGCAACGCGGAGGAGTTCAAGAACACTACTGTGAATCATGATCTCCATTTCATCTCTTGGGACAACCCTCCTAAGCAACACCCTCATTTCCTCACTGCGGAAGATTACCAGAGGATGGTCGACAGCAATGCACCTTTTGCCAGGAAGTTTGGGAAGAACGATCCGGTTCTTGACAGGATCGACTCGGAGTTGCTGGGGGTAAGTGCTGATGGGTTTGTCCATGGTGGGTGGTTCAGTAAAACTGTCAAGGCTAACTCGACCGAGCTTAAGCCTGGCAATGGAGCTCGACGGGTCAAGAATCTGATTTCGGGGCTTCTGTCTGCTGAAGGTTTTCGTACTTCACACTGCATCTGATTAGGATCTCTATACTTATATATAGGTTTTTGTAGGTCATTAGCTATTAGGTGGATTGTTCTTAGTTGAGTGCATTATGTGGTTTGTGGAACAATCTATTGAGTGTAATGATTTAAGGCATAATAATAGAGATATAATAACAAAGTTGTGATAAGCTCCAATTAGCTTAATCGATCTCGATATCTCAAACACCGATGAAATACTATTTCACTGGATGCAACAGCCATAGTGATAAATTTCTTAGTAAAAAATGCATAAATTTTTGCGTTTTGTATAGTTTTCCTACGAAACTTGAATCGTTTCGAATTTTTAAAATTGAAATCGAATCATGATAAATTGGCTATACGTTATTTTGACGAGATTACTATATCTCGCGAATATCACATATTTTGTGATATTTTGGCGAGTTATTGCTGTATTTGTCTATTTCCTTTTAATCCGTCTCCTTCCGTGACTGACGCCGGTTTCCAGTACAACTTCATTTCGTCTTCAATGGCGTTTATGATCCTCAGACGCAGCCGCCTCTCCGCATCGACACCCAAAACTGCCACCGACATTTCCCGCCTCTTCTGCACCACCTCCACCACTCCATCTCCGGCGACCGGCGAACCCCCTATAGTCTCCGACGTCGTCTCCCTCCTAACGCACCACCGCTTCAAATCCCGGTGGAGCCATCTCCGATCCCTCCTATCCTCCAACCAGGACCCGCTCTCTTCTCCTCACTTCTCCCAGATTTCCCTCCGGTTCAAATCGAACCCTCGCCTCGCCCTCCGCTTCTTCGATTTTACCCGCCGGAACTCCTCCCTCTGCTCTCACGACGCCTACTCTTTCGCCACCGTCATCCACCTCCTCTCCCGCGCCCGCCTCAAGTCCCCGGCGCAGTCCGTCATTCGGACCTTTCTCTTGTCTCGCGAATTATGGCCTGAAGACGATGAAGAAACCCCGTGTGACCCGCCTTTGAAACTGTTCGAAGTGCTGGTCAAAAGCTACAGGTACTGCGATTCCGCTCCGTTCGTATTCGATTTGCTGATCAAATCCTGTCTCGAGCTGAAAAAAATTGATGCGTCGTTAGAGATTGTGAGGAAGTTGAGGTCCCGTGGGATTAGCCCTCAAATTGATACTTGTAATGCTTTGATTTCGTGGGTTTCCAAGTGTAGAGGGTCATATGCTGGTTATGAAATGTTCAGGGAACTGTTTGGATTGGTGGGGAGCAAGGTTGAGGGAAAAGGGGGAAGGGGTTTGAGAAATGGACCTAATGTGCAAAGCTTTAATCTTTTGATGGAGGGGTTTTACAGAGACGGAGAAGTGGAGATGGTGGAGGAAATCTGGTTGGAGATGGAGAGATTTGGGTGTGGTGGTAATGAGCACAGTTACAGTATTTTACTGGCTGTGTATTCTGAAGCAGGGAAGATGACGGAAGCTGTGAAGCTATGGGAAGCGATGGTGGAGAAAGGGGTAAAACCTGAAGTTATGGCTTATAACACCATAATTGGTGGATTTTGCAGGGCAGGTGATTTGAAAAATGCTGAAGAGTTTTTCAGAGAAATGGAAATGAGTGAAGTGGAGTGTAGTTCAGGCATCACTTTTGAACATCTCATTGGTGGCTATTGCGGAATTGGGGATGTTGATTCAGCGCTGCTTGTGTATAAGGATATGCTTAGAAAGGGTTTCAGGCCTGAAGCAGTGACGATTGAGGTCTTGATTGGAGGGCTTTGTGAGAAGGGAAGGTTTTCAGAAGGTTTGGAAGTTATGAGATATGCAATGAAGGATGTGAGTTTCTCTCCAAGTCGAAAGAGTTATCAGTTTCTGATAAAAGGGTCGTGTGAGGACGGGAAACTGGAAGAAGCAGGCAAGCTTCAGGCTGAGATGGTAGGCAAAGGGTTTGAGCCAAATGCAGAGGTTTATGGTGCTTTTGTTGAAGGGTACACTAGGGTTGGAAATGAAAAAATGGCAGCGAAGCTTAGGAAGGAGATGTCTGATAGACTGGAGATTTCAGACAATGAGATGAAATGATGAAGCCATGGGAATGCAGCAACTCCCGGGAGTGCCATGTTTGCAGCTACTCTTTGGCAATATGTGTGCACGGCTTTTGGATCAATAGTGCATTTTTTTGAATTTACTGACGGGCTTCATCAATGACTTTCGGAAGGTTGTTCTGCAATTCCACTCTACCAAGGCAGTCACCCTCCTTACTTCAGGTGAACGAGATGTAATGACTCTGATGCTTGTCAGTGGCTTATAGATAAATTGGTTGAGGCGATTTCTGACTTTTAATTCACTAGCTCTTTACCAAAAAGTACTCTCGGAATTGTTTCTGGACAAAGACTGGTCGCAATGGCAGAGAACCCAGCAGAGCTGCTGCCACTGGATAATGCAGTCAATGTCGCATAGCCCAATGCGAGGCCTAGAACTAGAGCTTGATGTACTCCTGCCTGGAGCGGACGTCGGCTCAACCCAATGCACACTTCTAGTAGCAACCTACTTCTCTTGGGGTTCCTCAAAGTTACCATGTGAGGTGAACATTAGAGATAGAATTGCGTTCGCATATGGTTGCACATGTCAGGTTTGTACCAAAAAACTTAAAGGTCCTTTTGTTTCGATGTTGCCACGCAGACAGCTCTCTGAATTCTCTTGGGGGTTCCTCCGCTGTAATTTCTGCATGTGTATGCCTCGCCTGTGACAAATCTGCTGCACAGATTGCTTCCATCCCAAGGGACGTCAACTTTATGAGCATACTATCGATATCGGTTTGAAGGAGCAAGTCACATGCTGTTCATCTTTCCCCCTGCTGCTTTTGAAATGCAGATGAAGTATAATGTAGTATCACAGTATGTGTTGCTTATCAGCTTTGTTTACGACATGGATTTTCCTTCTTTTAGTCTAGATATTGCACAGACCAGAGAGCTAGGGTGGTGATAATCGGTCCAGGGCTATACAGCTTTGCAGAAGTAGGATGTTTTCTGGGTCACAGAGAGAAGTGTCCCCTCTACATAGAGATTCTTCACAGGTCCGGTCCGTATGGCTTCAAAATACGACATGAACAAGTCATAATCATGAACATGAACTGCAATAGGTTCTGCTTGGGTGATGCTTTCTTATCCTTACATCGAGTATTCCCTGTGGCAATGGGAGAATCTCCCCTTTAATAGTTCTAATGTACTATGCAAACATCCTCGTTTCACCCGAGGGCATACGTCCATATGGTGATATGCAATGCTCATGAGTTCAGGAACACTACAGGCAATCACGATCTACATATCATCTCTTGGGATAACCCTCATTAGCAGCCCCGTTATTTCCGCATTTTAGATGATTACTAGAGGATGATCGACAACAATGCATTATGCATCCATCTCCAGGTAGAGTAGGAAGACCGGTCAAGTTCTTGACAGGATTGATTCAGAGTTACTGGGGGTAACTGCTGATGGCTGGTTCAGTATAAATGCCAAAGGCTAACTTGACGAAGCTGAACCCTGGAATTGGAGCTCGAAGGATGAAGAATATGATTAGAGGTGTTCAAACCGTATAATTATCGTGGTATTTGGTTAATTTGGATAATATTACTTTGATAACCATTTTAACCGTGGTAACCATTTTTTCCTTTTCCTTTCGGAGTAAAGCTTCCGAACTCCTGACTACTTCCAAGCTCCCTTTATAAATAAAGGTCAAACACGGAGACAGTGTCAGGAATTCAAGATCAATGTTTCTAAGTTATTTTTAAGAATAAGAATGGAAGGAGATTGCTTTGGCAAATTGCCATCGGAGCTACTTTGTAAGATAGCCATCGCGCTGCCGCTGGATGAGGCGGCGAGGACCAGCGTCCTCTCCCGCCGATGGCGGAGTCAGTGGAGGCTGGCAGCATTACCAAACCGCCACTTCGCCGGCGACAGCGTCACCAAATTCACGCCCGACGGTTACCCAATCTCGTGCTTCGACACCGTGGGTGACTTCCTGAGCTGGGTCGACCAGGTCATCCGCCGGCGAGAGCCCTTCCCTCCCCGCCGCCGGACCGGCTCCCTCATACTACCCCGCCGGACCGACCTCTCCATCGACTCGCTGGGGCTGAATTTCGATCCGGAGGATCCCCATTACGGATGGATCGAATTCAACAAGGACAGATCCAAAACCGCAATCCCGTTGGTGGACGGCGGTTGCACCTGCTGCCGCTCCAAAGTCGTGTCTTTTCTTAGCCGCCGGCTTCCACAGCCTCCTCACGGGCTCTCCCTGTGCAGTCTTTTGTACGGCGGAAGGCGGAAGGAACTTCTCAAACAGTTGACCCTGCGGAACTGCGACATGGACATCCTGAGCCGCCACCTCAGCGGCGACCCAGGCCACAGCTTTGAGTAAGATAATTGAACCACCGTGTGCTAACCCTAGCTAGGGATTTTTCTTTAGTTTCTTAATGCTCGCTAGTTAACTAACTCAATCTCTCTTTTATTGTGCTTCTGGTATAATCAAATCAGGTGTCTGAGATCGCTGGTGCTGCAAAAGGGGCGGTCGATAGGGGTGAGATTCCTGGCCAAGTTCATCTATGGCTGCTGGGATCTCCGGAAATTGACATTGGAAGACTGCAGCATCGTCGACGACACTGTACCTTCACGCTTCAGTGGCCTGCTGGTCATAGCGGGCAGTCCCTTGGTGCATTTGAGATTGACTAGATGCAGTGGGTTTAATGAGATTAGGTACCAACTCGGCAAAGTAAGGAGATATGCTTATCCGTCGGAGATCTACCAAGAGACAGTAGACTACAACTTTGCTGATTTGGACGGAACACCGCCTCTACCCGAAGAGCGACAAGGACCTGAACTTGAGATGCCACCCCATCTAAGGAATGCATGGTTGGCGTACGAGTTACAGTTACAAAATGATGATGAAGAGGAGATTACTATGACTAATGAAGAGGAAGTTGCCTACAACTTCTATGATCAATTTGATCGCAATTAGTTTTGAAATTACGATTATTATTATTATTATTATTATTATTATTATTATTATTATGTTTCGTGATAATTTTTGTTCGAGCCCGGTTACTAGGCGCCCCGAACCTCCGCGTACGACCGTCCTAGCTCGCTCACACCTGCACACAGCACGGCTGAACTGAGTCCCAAGGGGGACTCGTTAGCACTCCGACGCCCGAGTCAGTTGCCCTTCCTAGAGAGAGAAGTGAATAGTAATTTTAAAGAGAAGATCCAACCTGAGTAAATGAGGTTCACCAACTCTCCTATTTATACCTCGGGTCCGGCCGACCGACATCCCCGTATCCCGCCTGTCGCCAGAC